GGAGGAAGACTCAATAATAATCTGTGATACACAAACAACCCAACTTTGCTTGCTTAGAGTCAGGATGACTTGAAGCATTTACTGATGAAGACTGAAGACTACAGTCTGCAGTATGGATTACCCCTCAATATAATGAAAACAAAAATCCTCACAACTGAACAAACAAGCAGCATCATGATAAATGGATAAAAGATTGAAGTTGTCAAAGATTTCATATTACTTGGTTCTATAATCAACACCAATGGAAGCAGCAGTCAAGACATCAGATGATGTATTGCATTGGGCAAATCTGCTGCAAAAGGCCCCTTTCAAATGCTGAAGAACAAAGATATCTCCTTGAAGACTAAGATGTGCCTGAACCAAGCCATGGTATTTTCAATCACCTCACATGCATGTGGGAACTGGACAATGAATAAGGAAGATGGAAGAAGAGTTGATGCTTTTGAGTTGTAGTGTTGGCAAAGAAAACTGAAAATACCATGCACTGCTAAAAGAACTAACAAATCTTTCCTGGAAGAAGTACAGCCAGAATGCTCCTTGGAAGGGAGAACAGCTGGACTTGGTCTCACCTATTTTGGTCATGTTGTCAGAAGGGACCATTCCTTGGAGAAGTATGTCATGCTTGGTAAAGTAGAAGATCTACGAAAAAGGGGAAGGCCCTCAACAAGATAGATTTACACCATCCATTGTTGGCTGCAACAATGAGCTCAAATAGCAAAGATTGTGGGGCTGGCAAAGGACTGGACAGTGTTTCGTTCTATTTTACACAGGGTTGCTATGAGTTTGACATGATTCAACGGCACCTAACAACAACAATTCTCTTTTTTTTTTAATGTGTTATCAAGATAGTGTGTTTCTGGTTCTTTTTTGGAGCACTCCTCTTTGTTGGGTTCTGAACATGTAGTTAACAAACTACAGCTGAATTTATTAATAGAACAGTTCTCACCTCCACTCACCTACCCCAATAGGTCCTCCAGACTTGCACTTTTTCAAGTCCATGTGGTAGAGATAATAGCTCTGACCTGATTGCAATCTCTTCTTCTCCAGTCCTAAGCTCTCATTTCTTTTCTGCAGTGGTCTCAGACAGCTCTGATCTCCCCTAAGGGGGGTGGGGAGTGTCTCAGATGTTTGGTCTTAGTTGTTCAGCATGGGTGTGAGATTCACCAATTCTTCATCTATTGTA